ATATCTGGTAGAAAATTATTATGAAAACACATGGAGCTAATATTATATAGATAATATTCTGAAGTAAACGTTTGGCAAATATTTCAAATGTCTGGTAAATATTTACAAAATGTACGATATTCGTTAAGTATATAGAAAATATAGGACAAATATTTTGTGCTACTAGGGATGCTTAAAGATAAAGCTGTACTATGACAATAGTAGATTTTCATGTGTTGTACCTTCAATCCAGAAAAACTGCATGTCACCCATATTTTTAGAAATTTTCAGTATTAATTATGTTTATTACCGTTTACAATTACATTAAGGTGATGAAATCGTTTAGTTCCAACTAAACTTCACAGATGGCGACGTTGGTCCTAAACAGTCGTTAGAATAATGAATTCCCGGGATTTCGATAGTTTTACCCCGATCCATTCATCATTACGTTACCGAAATTACATATGGAATACTTTATTTCGAATAATTCTCAACGTAGACTGTAAAAGACTTCAATATAAATATCGCGTAAGTGGAACTTAAGTAGGAGTGCTTGTTTAATGGATATTACAAAAAAATGTCACCTGAAGGGTAGTTCACCCCCTTGGGGGGGTGCAACATTGCTGAACAATATTGTGTTTTCACCGTCCTTATACAGAATACGTTTATACCAAGTTTCGTCGAAATCCCTCCGTTGCTTCTATGAAAATTATTATACAAATCGAATTTTTGACAAACTTTGAAGGGTTGTTTCGCCCCTTAAATGCGGACCACTGCAGATATAAAAAACACGTGTCTCTTAGATTTTTGTGTTCTTCAACATATATGAAGCTCAATAAGATCGGAGGCGGACACTTGGGAATGTTTCCTTGTAAGTATTGAGCTGTAAACTGGAAAAAGATCAGTAAAACACACATAAAACTCAAGTTACTTTAGGTTAGAAGTCAAATTCGGATGGGGTTAAATATCACTGATCTATAATCTACTCTATCCACAGTATCTAAGTCACTTTTGTAACACACCACGTCTAAAATCAATTTTAAGACCTTGAAATGTCAGCGGTTTCCACCTCGCCACTTCATATGCAACAAAAATAATTGTCCCGTCAATTAAGTCCAAGAGAACATTCCTAGTAGCATAGAATAATTTCTAAATATTTATTTGTAATCTTTGCTAAATATCTCGAGCGACAGATTTTTCAAGATTTCTTGTAGATTTCATTCGAAGATATTTGAAACATTTCTTGAAAATCTCAATGACATATTTTGTTTCAATAATTTATAAANATATAAATATAAATGTCGGTAACGAGACGCGCCAGGTTATGTTATCTTTAAAGTAATATGAAAGAGTCAGCCTACATACATCTGAGAAGTCAAATCGTTTAGTTCCAACTAAACTTCATAGATGGCGACGTTGGTCCTTAACAGTCGTTAGAATAATGAATTCCCGGGATTTCGATAGTTTTACCTCGATCTGTTTATCATTACTTTACCGAAATTACACATGGAATGCTTTATTTCGTATAATTCTCAACGTAGACTGTAAAAGACTTCAATATAAATACAAATCTCGGTAACGAGACGCGCCAGCTTTATGAATTTTATTTTTTTGACATCAATTAAATTTCTCAGCGCCTTTCATATCATCTTCAAAGTAATATGAAAGAGTCATTCTACATACATCTGAGAAGTCAAATCGTTTAGTTGCAACTAAACTTCACAGATGGCGACGTTGGTCCTTAACAGTCGTTAGAATAATGAATTCCCGGGATTTCGACAGTTTTACCTCGATCCGTTCATCATTACTTTACCGAAATTACATATGGAATGCTTTATTTCGTATAATTCTCAACATAGACTGTAAAAAACTTGAACATAAACATAAATGTCGGTAACGAGACGCGCCAACTTATGTTACCACTTAAGTACACAGGATGGCGTTACCATCAAAAACGGTATAAATGAATTTTGATTTATCGACAGCGATTAAATGTCTCATCCCCTTTCATATCACCTTAATATCGACTGGAAGTGAAAAACAAAAAGACATAACAAAAACGCTTACCTGATGTTCTTACACCTCTAATCTGCGTTACAACCCTCGACATTCATTTTTATCAAAAGACAACAGCAGGATTTCTGGAGTGAGGGTATTTATCATTCGGAAAATTTGTTTCAAACGAGAAAGTGTTCCCTTGCATGAAAAAAAAATCCAATAACACAAATTGTCTCTGACCGAATGTTAAAAAAAGAAATAAAAATATAGCCCAATTGAGTAAATGCCTTTCAAATTATTTGGGAAAAAATTATCGGACATTCTTCCGATTGCAAGTAGAATGACTTCGGTACTTACGCCTCTTTAGAATTGAGATTAAGTGTAACTGATCCAGCCACGCTGTCTCCGTACTTCAAGTACGCTAAGAAGCCTATTGTCACGAACATTCCACCTACAATGACCATTCCGACGTTCAGGACTCCCAGAGGTTTGTGGAAGTTGCTGGGCTTCTTCATCTCGTTCTTGAGGGGCAGCACCTGTAATTTCATTATCATGTAGAGCATACATGGGAGACCGAGGTCAATTGTAACACTTTTTGCGTCTTTATATTTAAGTACTTTTGGTTCGTCATTGTATAAGCTTAAATCCGCTGTTTGCTCATAGATGGCGTTAGTGAGCATATTAAGTTACTATGGACAGGCCATACTTTTGTTTTGTACGAGTTTGACATCTGTCAACAATAATCAGTGCACATCATCATTTGAATTTCGCGCCTCTATATGCCAGGTGTATGAGCTTAAATCCGCTGTTTGCTCATAGATGGCGTTAGTGAGCATATTAACTCTCTATGGGCCGAATTTTTCATTAAATAAAAAAAAATTGGGGGAACGAAAAATCAGCAATTAGGGACCTATATATGTGCCCATAATTATGAAAGTGGTCAAAATTAAAAAAAAAATGAGTTTAACAGTTATTTCACGCCATATTATTTCAAACGAAATTAATTCAATGTAATTTCGAAACAAAAAATATATGACAGACCACTTTCATAATTATGGGCACATATGCAAATGACCAAAAAATTTGCCATTTAAAATGTGACCTGAAAGTTACACGGGCCCATAGAGGGTTAAGTTACTATGGACAGGCCGTACTTTTGTTTTGCATGAGTTTGACATCTGTCAACAATAATCAGTGCACATCATCATTTGAATTTCGCGCCTCTATATGCCAGGTGTATGAGCTTAAATCCTCTGTTTGTTCATAGATTGCGTTAGTGAGCATATTAAGTTACTATGGACCCGCCATACTTTTGTTATGTACGAGTTTGACATCTGTCAACAATAATCAGTGCACATCATCATTTGAATATCGCGCCTCTATATGCCAGGTGTATGAGCTTAAATCCGCTGTTTGCTCATAGATGGCGTTAGTGAGCATATTAACCCTCTATGAGCCCGTGTAACTTTCAGGTCACATTTTAAATGAAAAATTTTTTTTTCATTTACATATATAGGTTCCTAATTGCTGATTTTTCGTTCCCCCAATTTTTTTTTTATTTAATGAAACATTCGGCCCATAGAGGGTTAAGTTACTATGGACACGCCATACTTTTGTTTTGTACGAGTTTGACACCTGTCAACAACAATCAGGGCACATCATCAGCAATTTCATACAACAATATGCATTTTTCCTTTGGTATTCGTGTCTAGTTTTTTGCCAGAAAAAGAGAATATGAGGGAAACTCTGCTTTTCTGCTTCTGTTTGAAGAAATCGGCTGCCGAATCGCATCGAATGCTTGTGGAGGTCTATGGCGACAGTGCATTTCATGAACTTTACATTGATAGGTTTATAATTTGAATATCATAAGCACGGTAATTGTTCTTGGAGCAACCGTTTGTTTCCCTGTGAGTATTATAGATGGCCCTGCAGTCGATTAGAGTCTCAAAAATCATGAATTTAGGGGATTTCATGAACTTTACATTGATAGGTTTATAATTTGAATATCACAAGCACTGTAAGTGTTCTTGGAGCAACCGTTTGTTTCCCTGTGAATATTATAGATGGCCCTGCGGTCGGTTAGAGTCTCAAAAATCGTGAATTTAGGGGATTTAATGAACTTTACATTGATACGTTTTTAATTTGAATGTCACAAGCACCGTAAGTGTTCTTGGAGCAACCGTTTGTTTGCCTGCGGATATTATAGATGGCCCTGCAGTCGATTAGAGTCTCAAAAATCCTGAATTTAGGAGATTTCTTGAACTTTACATTGATAGGCGTATAATTTGAATATCACAAGCACCATAAGTGTTCTTGGAACGACCGTTTGTTTGCCTGTGAACATTATAGATGGCCCTGCAGTCGATTAGAGTCTCAAAAATCCTGAATTGAGGGAATTTCTTGAGCTTTACATTCATCCCTTTACAATCAATCTTCTGAAGCGACACACAGTGCAAACATATGTAATTAAAAATATTAAAATAATTTGAAATGTTAAAGGAAATATTATACTAACCAAAGTAATACCCTCGAAGGAGTATATTACGGTCCCAAAAAAAAGGGGCAGGGAATTCCACGAGGCGACGTAATTGCGGGAGCTTATTGGAGGAAGATCGTGGCTCATCAGGTAAACCGTCGATATGTATCCAGATATGACCAAAAAATTCGCGATCGACGAAAACGGCACCAAGTATTTCAAATTTCTTATCCACGTGCTCAGTAATATGGGAATCAAAATGACGGCCATGTGTGAGTGAACGTCCAAATGGAAACCATATACGTCCAGGACCTGCAAAAAATATTGAACAATTAGATTATTACCTGTTATCATTTCATGTCTAGGTCAAGCTTGGGTGCCTAACTTTGGCCAATGATGTACAATATCGAGCCAAAGTTGCGCTGTAGTTCAATTGCTACTTGGGTGGCGCTAAGATCGATTCGATTCCTTTTAATTGATTTCTCTATCCTCTTAAGGTGAAGTGAAACCTCCTTTAAATCAGTCGATTTGAATACAACACTTTTTTTTAAGGGTATTACACCAAAATGTCGGAAACTTTGACACATCACTCCTGATCATCTATGAATTGTCCTGACACATTCAAAATTTGGATTTTTTAAAATAAATTTTTATTCAGCCCAGACCAGAAGCAAAATGGCGTCGAGCTCTCATATTTCGATTGATATACAATTATAGAAGGCTCTGATATGAGAAACGAAAGGATCAGGACAATTTTACGACAATTTAGAATACTCTGGTAAGCGATAAACTCGTATTTCAACAGGATAAAGGCAGAAAAAGTGTTGTATGCGCTTCTATGCTAAAACGATAGGAATACAAGGTCTCGGAGTGAAAATTTAATTGACCTGGAAATCACAGATGGCGCAGGGGGTCCCTCTGCAGTCAATTAGGGCTCCAAAAAGCATGAATTCAGAGGATTTCTGGAGTTTTACTTCGATTTGAATGAATTCCAAATATTGTTAGGTAGACCGAAAAGTATTGTCGTTTCTGTTATCGTTTGATTGTCATTTGTCGGCTTATTGTGTAGTTCAAAAACGCGCCAAGGAGGGCCACGTGCTATTTTAAGGTTATGTCTATATAATTTCTTTCAATTTTTTACTTAGACCACTTTCATAATTAACACTAAATGAATTCCATATAATATTGAAATTACAATCACTATCTAATGGTTCATTTTTGACAATATCGAAAAAATTACATTGAATTAATTTAGTTTAAAATAATATGGGGTGAAATAACTGATAAACTCATTTTTTTTTCAATTCTGACTTAGACCACTTTCATAATTATGGGCTCATATGGAGAAATATTTTTCAACACATTGGCATAGTAAAAATACATTTTATACTTAACGACTATTATCGAACATTTGGTATAAAAAAACACGAGAAATTTTTCTAATATTTTCGTCCCGCTATTTTATTATGGGAACAAACGTGTGATTTTGATGTTAATAATTTTTAAAACTTTTACAATGTATTCGGCAGATAATATTTAAAAAACACTTGCATTAAAATGAAACGAAATGTTTCGTATGTCTGGTAGAAAAATATTATGAAAACACATGGTANAAATTCGACTTAGACCACTTTCATAATTATGGGCACATATATTTAACTGGACAAACAAAATGTAAAAAGCGCATTGAAATAAATGAAGTGGGATATTACCTGTTTCATATTTGTAGAAATGAAAACGAAGTAGACACAACAGAATCCGAGTTGCGTGACGCATAAAAATACATTAACCAACCGTCTGAAAGTAAACAAAGAAAAATTCAGTCAATAGGGCTAAAGTTAAAACAGTATATTTTAACAGTATAGGGTAATACGTTTTTTTATAAAAATTTCCTAGCAGCATAGAATAATTTCTAAATATTTCTTTGTAATCTTTGCTAAATATCTCAAACGACAGATTTTTTCAGATTTCTTGTAAATTTCATTTGAAGATACCTAACATATTTGATATGAATAATATTCTAAAGTAAACGTTTTGCAAATATTTCAAATGTCTGGTAAATATTTACAAAATGTACGATATTCGTTAAATATATAGAAAATATAGGACAAATATTTTGTGCTACTAGGGTACATTCTCTGTGAGACCTTACGTACACGTCGGATAGATAATTGAATTTGTGACATCGTGGTACATTTTTAATCATTTATATCGTTTTTTTAGTATAAAAACACTTTGAAAATTTTGCGTCGGCAACGTAAGTATTTAGAAAAATCTTCTTTGCCGACGTTGATCAAGTTCCTAGACGTTTTTCACTTCACCTTAAGGTGAGTCGTATACTCGATTCGAATACAACGCTTTTTTTTAAGGGTATTAGACCAAACCGTTCGAAACTTTGACACATGACTCGTGATCATCTTAGAATTGCCCTGGCACATTTAGAATTTGGATTCTTGAAAAAAAAACGTTTAATTTAGTCCAGACTAAAACCAAAATGGCGTCGAGCTCTCGTATTTCGATCGATATGCAATTATCGAAGGCTGTGATATGAGAATCGAAAGGGTCAGGACAATTTGACGGCAATTTAGAACACTCTGGTAGTCGATAAACTCGCATTTCAACGGGATAAAGGCAAAAAAAGTGTTTTATGCGCTTCTATGCTAAAACGATGGTAATACGAAATCTCGGAGTGAAAATTTAGTTGACTTGGAAATCATAGATGGCGCAGGGGGTCCCTCTGCAGTCAATTAGGACCCCAGAAAGCACGAATCCAGAGGATTTCTGGGGTATTATTTCGATTTCTTTTTAATTATTGTCCGAAAACGACATATCGAGTACACCATTTAGTACAATAAACGCGTCAGGACAATTGTACGACAATTTAGAAAAGCCCTGGGAATCGATAAACTCGCATTTGAACGGGATAAAGGCAAAAAAAGTGTTGTACGCGCTTCTATGCCAAAACGATGGGAATACGAGGTCTCGGAGTGAAAATTTAGTTGACTTGGAAATCATAGATGGCGCAGGGGGTCCCTCTGCAGCCAATTAGGACTTCAGAAAGCATGAATTCAGAGGATTTCTGGGGTGTTACTTCGATTTCTTTTTAATTATTGTACGAAAACAACATATCGAATACACCATTTAGTACAATAAACGCGTCAGAACAATTGTACGACAATTTAGAAAAGCCCTGGTAATCGAGAAAATCGCATTTGAACGGGATAAAGGCAAAGAAGTGTATTACACTCTTCTATGCCAAAACGATGGTAATACGAGGTCTCGGAATGAAAATTTAGTTGACCTGGAAATCATAGATGGCGCAGGGGGTCCCTGTGCAGTCAATTAGGACTTCAGAAAGCATGAATTCAGAGGATTTCTGGGGTGTTACTTCGATTTCTTTTTAATTATTGTACGAAAACATGTTGAGTACACCATCTAGTACAATAAAAGCGTCAGGACAATTGTACTACAATTTAGAACACTCTGGTAATCGGATAAACTCGCATTTCAACGGGATAAAGGCAAAAAAAGTGTTGTACGCGCTTCTATGCTAAAACGATGGGAATACGAGGTCTCGGACTGAAAATTTAGTTGACTTGGAAATCACAGATGGCGCAGGGGGTCCCTCTGCAGTCAATTAGATCCTCAGAAAGCATGAATTCAGAGGATTTCTGGGGTGTTACTTCGATTTCTTTTTAATTATTGTACGAAAACAACATATCGAATACACCATCTAGTACAATAAAAGCGTCAGGACAATTTTACTACGATTTAGAACACTCTGGTAATCGGATAAACTCGCATTTGAACGGGATAAAGGCAAATAAGTGTATTATACGCTTCTATGTCAAAACGATGGTAATACGAAGTCTCGGAGTGAAAATTTAGTTGACTTGGAAATCACAGATGGCGCAGGGGGTCCCTCTGCTGTCAATTAGATCCTCAGAAAGCATGAATTCAGAGGATTTCTGGAGTATTATTTCGATTTCTTTATAACTATTGTACAACAACATGTGGAGTATGCCATTTAGTGCAATACCCAATACAATTCGACACATCTGTCGATATAAAAACGAACTTCGGCAACGTAGATGTTTACAAAAATCTTCTTTACCGACGTCGATCAAGTCCCTTCACGTGTTTCACTTCAACCTAATTGAAAAACTACGAAATTTTATTTTGTACCAATTCACGAACCCGATAATTACGATGTACAAACGGAAATTTATGTTTTTGTATATTAGTCATACCTCATTAAGACGGAGTACTTTCTTAACCGTAATGGACCCGTTGCGAAACATAACTCTATCGTTCCAGCGAATCCAGGTTGTTGAGTGAGTGAATTGCCCATCCTTCTCGTTACCTCTTCGTTACACCTAACCTGTACAGAACAAGAACATTACACGGTTAGAGGTGCACTACAACCCTAGCAGCACAGAATAATTTCTAAATATTTTTTTTCGATGGTTGCGCAATGTCTCCAGCGACAGATTTTTTAAGGTGATATGAAAAAGTCATCTTATATATATCTGAGAAGCCAAATTGTTGGTGAAAGTATTTTCCGAATTGAGCGTACCAATTCGTTTCAAATTTTGCCCTAAAGTAGGTCCTCACGAAATTTCATTTTTCATCAAAAATGTATTTCTTTATCATGGACTGGAACCTACATGGCGTGGTCCGTGCACGTTTCCGATGTTTTACGCTTCTTGGAGGCTTAAAATCGAAAATGAAGGGTTTAAGGACCTAGCTCGAACAATTTAGAATACCGTAGAAATGGAATATTACAGAGTGAGATTGGAAAATATGGAAAATACTTTCACAAACGATTGCAAGAGCATATTGGCTTCCCTCGGGGGTAACACGTGTCTTTGGTGCAAAAATTTAGTTACAGCTAAACGTCACAGATGGCGCCACTGGTCCTAAACAGTCGTTAGAATAATGCATTTCCGGGATTTCGATAATTTTACGTCGATTTCTTCATCATTACTTTTCTGAAACGACATATGGAACGCTTCAGCTCGTATAATTCTCAATGTAAACTGTAAAAGAATTCAACATAAATATAAATGTCGGTAACGTGATGCGCCAGCGTATGTTACCACTTGTGCATTCAAAATGACGTTACCACCAAAATGGGTATAGATGAATGTTATTTTATCGACTTCAATTAAATTACTCAGCGCCTTTCATATCATCTTCAGAGTTGCGGAATGATGTTTAATCCTTGGTATGGTTTTACAGTTGTGAATGATTCGTACAGTTTTAATGTTTTACGTTTTTTGGAGGCTTAGAATCGAAAATGAAGAGTTTAAGGACCTAGCTCGAACAATTTAGAATACCGTAGAAATGGAATATTACAGAGTGAGATTGGAAAATATGGAAAATACTTTCACAAACGATTGCAAGAGCATATTGGCTTCCCTCGGGGGTAACACGTGTCTTTGGTGCAAAAATTTAGTTACAGCTAAACGTCACAGATGGCGCAACTGGTCCTAAACAGTCGTTAGAATAATGCATTTCCGGGATTTCGGCAGTTTTACGTCGATTTCTTCATCATTATTTTACCGAAATTACATGTGGAATGGCATTATTTCGTACTATTCTCAACGTAGACTGTAATAGACTTCAACATAAATATAAATGTCGGTAACGTAACTCGGCAGCTCCCACTATAGTTTTCAAAATGACATTTCCGCCAAAAAGGGTATAGATCAATTTTAATTTACTGAGGTCGATTAAATTTCTCAGCGCCTTTCATATGTGCCCATAATTATGAAAGTGGTCTGTCAAAATTAAAAAAAAAAAATGAGTTTATCAGTTATTTCACGCCATATTATTTCAAACGAAATTAATTCAATGTAATTTAGAAACAAAAAATATATGACTTAGACCACTTTCATAATTATGGGCACATATTTTCTTAAACTTTGTAAAATTGTAAAATTGTAAAATTGTAAAATTGTAAAATTGTAAAATTGTAAAATTGTAATAAAAAAATTGTGTAATTGTGAAATTGTGAAATTGTGAAATTGTGAAATTGTGAAATTGTGAAACCGTGAAACTGTGAAATTGTGATATTGTGAAACTGTGAAACTGTGAAATTGCGAAACCGTGAAATTGTGATATTGTGAAATTGTGATATTGTGAAATTGTGAAATTGTGAAATTGTGAAATTGTGAAATTGTGAAATTGTGAAACCGTGAAACTGTGAAATTGTGATATTGTGAAACTGTGAAATTGCGAAACCGTGAAATTGTGATATTGTGAAACCGTGAAATTGTGATATTGTGAAATTGTGAAATTGTGAAACTGTGAAACTGTGAAACTGTGAAACTGTGAAACTATGAAACTGTGAAACTGTGAAACTGTGAAATTGTGAATTGTGAAATGTGAAAATGTGAAATTGTGAAATTGTGAAATTGTGAAATTGTGAAATTGTGAAATTGTGAAATTGTGAAATTGTGAAATTGTAAAATTGCACAATTGTGAAATTGCAATACTGTAAAATTCTAAAAAAAATATTGTAAAATAATTTAGAAAATACATACCAGTATGTGTTGTGCATGGACACAGATGATGCCCAGAAAGATAGTGAGTGGAGGAGCCAGGAGGATGCCGGCGTTCTTGAAGGCGTCCCCCAAAGCGAATATTCCGGAGCCAACGTTACCCTTGAACAAGTGCATCAGGGTTTCCAGATACCTGAAGTAGTTGCATTCGTAAATTACTTTATGGGGTCACTCAGTGTAGATGCGTCCGTCCGTGCCTAAGGTCCGTCGCTCGCTTTGACGAATTCCGGCTCTGGACGGAACTTCTTTGCCTACTGTTCTTTTTTCTTTTTCACATTTATCTACAGTCTTCTACCTAATCGTGAAAGATAGTTTTGCCACGAAATTGGGAATGAAAGTTGCCCCAGAAGGGCGATGCCTCATTTCATTAGACGCGGGATCAACGCGGTAGACGCTTTGAGGTTAAGGTGATGTGAAACTTCCTTCAAATCAGTCGATTCGAATACAACACTTTTTTTTAAGGGTATTAGACCAAATTGTCTAAATCTTTGGCACATCACTCCTGATCATCTAAGAATTGTCCTGACACGTTCAAAATTTGGATTTTTTTACGAAATTTTTTAACTCAGCTCAGACCAGAACCAAAATGGCGTCGAGCTCTCATATTCCGATCGATATAAAAATTAATATAAGACATAATAAAAGTCAATATAAAAACGAACGTCGGCAACGTACGCATTTAAAAAAATCTTCTTTATCGACGTCGGACGAAGGTCCTGGAACTCATGAAATTTCAATTCTTTTGAAATGTGTTTATAGGTATTTTAAAAATTGTTTATAAAACATGGAATTTCGCGAGTTCCTGGACCTACCTTAGGGTCTCCATATTCATGTTTCAAAGTATGAAACGATGTGAGACACCCAGCTCGTGGAAAGTTTTATAAACGATTGAGCTTTTGGATGCCACTTTCACATTCCTTAAGGTGATGTGAAACTCCCTTCAAATCAGTCGATTCGAATACAACACTTTTTTTTAAGGGTATTAGACCAAACTGTCCGAAACTTTGGCACATCACTCCTGATCATCTAAGAATTGTCCTGACACATTCAAAAATTGGATTTCTTCAAAAAATGTTTTAACAGTCCAGACCAAAACCAAAATGGCGTCGAGGTCTCATATTACGATCAATATACAATTATCGAAGGCTCTGATATGAGAATCGAAAGGGTCAGGACAATTTTACGACAATTTAGAACACTCTGGTAATCGATAAACTCGCATTTGAACGAGATAAAGACAAAAAAAGTATTGTATGCGCTTCTATGCTAAAACGATGGGAATATGAGGTCTCAAAGTGAAAATTTAATTGACCTGGAAACCGCAGATGGCGCAGGATGTCCTTCTACAGTCAATTAGGACCCCAAAAAGCATGAATTCAGAGGATTTTTGGAGTTTTACTTCGATTTCCTGATATTTATTGTACGAAAACGGCAGGTGGAGTATGACATTTGGTACAATATCCACGGTTTAATATTCTTAATTCCACGCATTAAAAACAAAATGGCATCCGAAATGTGGATACCTTTTTCTAAATATGAAAGTTGAACAAATAATGAGAATCCTTAACCGAAGGTTTAATATTCTTAATTCCACGCATTAAAAACGAAATGGCACCCGAAATGTGGATACCTTTCTCTAAATATGAAAGTTGAGCAAATAACGAGCCCTCCTCTTGAGACATGCTGACTAGTTTCGCACCACTATCAGTGAGGCACCAAGATTCGATTTGAGTAATATTCTCAATTACACGCATTAAAAACAAAATGGCACCCGAAATAAGGGCACCTCTCTCTCAATATGAAAGTTGAACAAATAACGAGCCCTCCTCTTGGTACTCGCTGACTAGTTTCGCACCACTATCAGTGAGACACCGAGATCCGATTCTTAATTCTTGTAATATTCTTAATATCGCCTATTAAAAACAAAATGGTACCCGAAATATGAGCACCTTTCTCTCAATATGAAAGTTGAACAAATAACGAGCCCTCCTCTTGAGACTCGCTGACTAGTTTCGCACCACTATCAGTGAGACACCGAGATCCGATTCTTAATTCTTGTAATATTCTTAATATCGCCTATTAAAAACAAAATGGTACCCGAAATATGAGCATCTTTCTCTCAATATGAAAGTTGAACAAATAACGAGCCCTCCTCTTGAGACTCGCTGACTAGTTTCGCACCACTATCAGTGAGACACCGAGGTCCGATTCGTCTTATATTCTTAATTCAGCGCATTAAAAACAAAATGGCATCCGAAATGTGAATACCTTTCCCTGAATATGAAAATTGAACAAATAACAAGCCCTCCTTTTGAGACTCGCTGACTAGTTTCGCACCACTATCAATGAGACACCGAGGTCCGTTTCGTGTTATATTCTAAATTCCACGCATTAAAAACAAAATGGCACCCTTCTCTAAATATAAAAGTTGAACAAATAACGAGCCCTCCTCTTGAGACTCGCTGACTAGTTTCGCACCACTATCAGTGAGATACCAAGGTCCGATTCTTGTAATATTCTTAATTCCGCGCATTAAAAACAAAATGGCACCCTTCTCTCAATATAAAAGTTGAACAAATAACGAGCCCTCCTCTTGAGACTCGCTGACTAGTTTCGCACCACTATCAGTGGGACACCGAGGTCCGATTCGTGTCTTAGTAGCGACGAGTTCATCGATTTGCGGTATTTCATATTCATCACCACTGGAATTAGTACCTTCTCCTTGCGAGCCTAATTCCCTTGTTCTTATGTCTCTACATGCTTTCTCTCTACTACTAACGTGTAGATTAGCTCTTAAGGCGGGCCTCTGCATTCGCCAGTATCCCCGTTAATTCGGGGACTAAGTCGGCTGGAAAAACCGACGTTAGCGTACGTTAATACACAAATGCGGAGAAGAGAATGAAAGATACGAATCGACCATTGCAAGTAACTCACAAGTGACATTTACCGGCGGACGTACGGAATTACAGTCTAGTATGAATCCAAAACAGTGTGTCATGTCCGCCATGTTTTTCATTAATAAGAATTGTTTTATTTAAGCTGTTGGATGGCGCGAAACACGTCGAGGAACTTGATCGACGTCGGTAAAGAAGATTTTTCTAAATGCCTACGTTGCCGACGTTTGTTTCTATATTGGCAGGTGTGTTGAATTGTATTGGGTATTGTACCAAATGGCATACTCCACCTGTCGTTTTCGTACAATAAATATCAAGAAATCGAAGTAAAACTCCAGAAATCCTCTGGATTCATGCTTTCTGGGGCCCTAATTGACTGCAGAGGGACCCCCTGCGCCATCTATGATTTCCAGGTCAATTAAATTTTCACTCCTAGACCTACCTTAAGGTGACACGAAACCCCCCTTGAAACAGTCGATTCGACTACAACACTTTTTTTTTAAGTATATTCAATCAAACTGTCCGAAACTTTGACTCGTCACTCCTGATCATCTAAGAATTGTCCTGACACAATAAAAATTTGGATTTTTTCTTCAAATTTTTTAACTCAGCTCAGACCGAAACCAACATGGCGTCTAGCTGTCATATTTCGATCAATATACAATTATCGAAAGCTCCGATATGTGAAACGAAAAGGTCGGGACAATTTTACAACAATTTAGAACACTCTGGTAATCCATAAACTCGCATTTGAACGGGATAAACGCAAAAAAACTGTTGTCTGCGCTTCTATGCAAAAACGATGGGAACACGAGGTCTCGGAGTGAAAATTTAATTGACCTGGAAATCACAGATGGCGCAGGGGGTCCCTCTGCAGTCAATTAGGGCCCCAGAAAGCACGAATCCAGAGGATTTCTGGAGTTTTACTTCGATTTCTTGATATTTATTGTACGAAAACGACAGGTGGAGTATGCTATTTGGAACAATACCCAATATAATTTGATGATATAGCTCTCATATTTCGATCGATATACAATTGTTAAAGACTCTAATATGAGAAACGAAAGTATCAGGACAATCTTACGACAATTCAGAACACTTTGGTAATCGATAAACTCACATTTGAACGGGATAAACGCAAAAAAACTGTTGTCTGCGCTTCTATGCCAAAACGATGGTAATACGAGGTCTCGGAGTGAAAATTTAATTCACCTAGAAATCACAGATGGCGCAGAAGGTCCCTCTGCAGTCAATTAGAGTCCCAGAAAGCATGAATCCAGAGGATTTCTGAAGTTTTACTTCGATTTCTTGATATTTATTGTACGAAAACGACAGGTGGAGTATGCCATTTAGTACAACACCCAACATAATTCGACCTAGCTATCAATATAAAAACCAATGTCGGCAACTTAGGCATTTAGAAAAATCTTCTTTACCGACGTCGATCAAGTTCCTCGACGTGTTTCACAGAGTCAGAACAATTATATGACAATTATGAACGCTCTGGTAATCGATAAACTTACATTTGAACGGGATAAAAGCAAAAAAATTGTTTTATGCGCATTTATGCCAAAACGATGGTAATACGAAGTCTCGGAGTGAACATTTAATTCTCCTAGAAATCACAGATGGCGCAGAGGGTCCCTCTGCAGTCAATTAGGGCCCCAGAAAGCACGAATCCAGAGGATTTCTGGAGTTTTACTTCGATTTCTTTATAATTACCGTACAAAAACGACAGGTGGAGTATGCCATTTGGTACAACACCCAACATAATTCGACCCAGCTATCGATATAAAAACCAACGTCGGCAACGTAGGCGTTTAGAAAAATCTTCTTTACCGACGTCGATCAAGTTCCTCGACGTGTTTCACAGAGTCAGAACAATTATATGACAATTATGAACGCTCTGGTAATCGATAAACTTACATTTGAACGGGATAAAAGCAAAAAAAATGTTGTATGCGCTTCTATACCAAAACGATGGTAATGCGAGGTCTCGGAGTGAAAATTTAATTGACCTAGAAATCACAGATGGCGCAGGGCGTCCCTCTGCAGTCAATTAGGGCCCCAGAAAGCGTGAATCCAGAGGATTTCTGGAGTTTTACTTCGATCTCTTAATATTTATAGTACAAAAACGACAGGTGGAGTATGCCATTTAGTACAACACCCAACATAATTCGACCTAGCTATCAATATAAAAACCAACGTCGGCAACGTAGGCATTTAGAAAAATCTTCTTTACCGACGTCGATCAAGTTCCTCGACGTGTTTCACTTCACCTTAACGCTAAAAGTGAGATATGAGTAAGGACTTCTGCTTCCAAAATGCGTGGAGGTTCAAAAATATCTTTTGACAAATGGGAATGGAGTTCTTGCAATGATCGATTCATTGGAGAGTTTATACTTACGAGGTCGGATGATCAACGCTGATTCCGTGTCCGTCTCCATCGCCGTCCTTCCCTCCAAATCCTTTTTCCACCGACAGAATTGGATCTTTGGACTGAAAGACACCGTAAGTGCTGCCGTTTCTACACGCAACAGAATTACACCTGGCGTTGAAAACGCGTTAGTAAATGTGGACAGAAGCTCAAGCTCTTGGTTAGTCTACTTGCAGCGGAAGCAAAATTTTAGGTTATGTTTCGTTAATTAACATTGAAGGTACATTTATACGAGTGTTAGTGCGAAACACAGCGCAAAGATATGGTTGATGTTGAAGAGTAACAGCAGTGTTGTACATTAACCCTTTGAGCGCTGTCGACGCATATGTGCGTCCGACGTTTGGTCGAATATCGCTAGCACGCCCTGGCGAAATTCGCCCATATGTCGAATGTACTAAGCACCCAAAGGGGTAAACACGAATTAAGGTGATGTGAAAGTGGCGACGAAGGGGTTTTGTTTATTAAACTTTGCTCCCAATTCGATTTACTGAGTAATTTGAAACTTTACAACGTGAATTGGGAGACTATAAGGAAGGTCCTGAAACTCATGAAATTTCAATTCTTTTCGAGTTTGTTTATAGGTATTTTAAAAATAGTTTATAAAAAATAAAATTTCACGATTTTCTGGACCTACCTTAGTGTCTCTATATTCACGTTTTAAAGAATGAAACGATTTGAGACACCCAACTAGTAGAAAAGTTTTATGAACAATTGAACTTTCGGATCACCTTAACGTGATGTGAAAGCGGCGACGAAGAGGTTTTGTTTATTAAACTTTTCTCTCAATTCGATGTACCGAATAATTTGAAACTATACAACGCGAATTGGGAGACTATAAGGAAGGTCCTGAAACTCATGAAATTTCAATTCTGTTCAAATTTCTTTATAGGTTTTTCACAAATAGATTATAAAAAATTAAATTTCGCGAGCTTCAAGACCTACCTTAGTGTCTCCATATTCACGTTTTAAAGTATAAAACGATTTGAGACACCCAACTAGTAGAAAAGTTTTATGAACGATTGAACTTTCGGATGACCTTAAGGTGATGTGAAAGTGGCGACGACGAGGTTTTGTTTATTAAACTTTTCTCTCAATTCGGTTTACCGAATAGTTTGAAACTTTACATCGTGAATTGGGAGACTATAAGGAAGGTCCTGAAACTCATGAAATTTCAATTCTTTTCGAGTTTGTTTATAGGTATTTTAAAAATAGTTTATAAAAATGAAATTTCCCGAGTTTCTGGACCTACCTTAAAGTCTCTATATTCAGGTTTTAAAGAATGAAACGATTTGAGACACCCAACTAGTAGAAAAGTTTTATGAACAATTGAACTTTCGGATCACCTTAACGTGATGTGAAAGCGGCGACGAAGAGGTTTTGTTTATTAAACTTTTCTCTCAATTCGATGTACCGAATAATTTGAAACTATACAACGCGAATTGGGAGACTATAAGGAAGGTCCTGAANGCTAATATTGTATAAATATTATAGAGATAATATTCTAAAGTAAACGTTTGGCGAATGTTTCAAATGTCAAGTAAATATTTACAAAATATAGGATATTCGTTAAATATGTAAAAAATATAGGAGAAATATTTTGTGCTACTAGGTACAGAACAGCAATGATATTAGTCAACAAATATTAGTCTCCGTTTGCTGTCATATACAATACAATACACTTCTAGTCATTTTTCTGCATCGAACAATCTTCTACATGAAACAATGCATACATCACCACAAAACCATTAAAATTATGCAAACGGTTAAAATTAGACATTTCTTAAAATAAACCGTACTCTTTCAAAACCACTTATTCGAAACACAAAAGATATTTTGATAAATAATAAAATTAATTTATGTATAATAATATATTGAAAACATATATTAGAATATAAAAATAGTTTGAAACTTCAGAACGCAAATAGGGAGACTATAAGGAAGGTCCTGAAACTCATGAAATTTCAATTCTTTTCAAATTTGTTTATAGATATTTTAAAAATAGTTTATAAAAATGAAACCATGAGTTTCAGAACCTATCTTAGGGTCTCCATATTCACGTTTTAAAGAATGAAACCATTTGAGACCTCCAGTTCTATGAAAAGTTTTATGAACGATTGAGCTTTCGGATGCCGCTTTCATATCCCCTTAATGATAATAGCATTTTGGTGAAGACATAAGTCCGAAATTGCTTCCGCCTTCACAACATTTTTTTTTTATACAAAATTTCAACACAGTCAGTAGTTTCAAAACGTCAAATTGTTAAAAGTTCTTTTACTTCAAAGATCTGGGAAATGTGGCATCTATTCTATCAGTGCTTTACCCTACATCGTATTTTGTTAATTACAGAACAGCATTGATTAAGCATCAAACAACGTTTACACGTTCAACATTTCTGCGAAATAGCACCCCTAGTAGCATAAAATAATTTTTAAATATTTCTTTGGAATCTTTGCTAAATATCTCAAGCGACAGATTTTTTAAGATTTCTTGTAGATTTCCGAAGATATTTGAAATATTTGTTGAAAATCTCAATAACATATTTAGTTTCGACAATTTATAAACATACAGAGACATTACATTTTTTTTTAATTTATGAGCATTTAATAAAAATACATTTTTTCTTCCCTACTATTATCGGACACTTCATTTGTTATGAAAAAACACGAGAAATTTTTCTAATATTTTCGTTCCGCTATTTCATTATGGGAGTAAAACGTGTGATTTTGATTTTTAATATTTTTGAAACGTTTATAATGTATTGGGTAGATAATATTTAAAAAATACTTCTATTAAAATGAAACGAAACGTTTCGAATATCTGGTAGAAAATTATTATGAAAATACATGGAGCTAATATCATATAAATATTATAGAGATAATATTCTAAAGTAAACGTTTTGCA